CATTGCAGTCAATGTCATTAGACAAATCATGTATGAACTGCTGTATGGAAAATGAATTTGCTCTGTAAACTTTAACCCAAATCATAATAAAAATTAAAAAAAAAAAAAAAACAGCGAGCAGTTTTATACAGGTCACAAAGCACAGGTGACAGCCAAGGGGACCTCTGGGCCACTGCCTGGAATTACACAGAATGGTTGATAGATGAAGTAAGGGGCTTGGACAACCACGCAAAACATACAGACATACCATTCCGCCCTTTATTTGCAGTTAAACAAGGAGAGGGGTTTTTGTCTTTATCTCCTGTGGGTCTTCTGGTTTGTACTTCAGGGGGTAAACTTAAGGCAACATTAATAATAGCCATTACTACTAAAAACATAGGAGCTCTGGTAGCACAGTGCTTAAGGCACTTGACTGTTAACCAGAAGGCTGGTGGTTCAAACCCACCAGCCACTCCTTGAAAGGAAGGTTGGGCAATCTACTTCCATAGTGATACCGCCTCGGAAACTCAAGGAGGAGTCGCTGAGTTGGATCCAACTCAATGGCACACAACAACAACTACTAAAAACAGCCCCCAAATCATCCTTTGGAACTTTGCATCCACACAGTGTCTGACTGAGGATGGAAGAACATCGCAAGCCATTCACAGGGTTAACAAAAGGGACTCCTAAAAAGCCCGTCTAGGCACCTCGCTGCTTCTCCGAGCAAAAACTGGTGGCCCACTCACGGCGCCCAGCAACACAAGGCATGGTGTGTGACAGCAGGTGGGGTGCACGAACTGTGTGCAGTCACACCTGCAGGCTTCTGGTGAAGTGACGTGCAAACTCTGTAGAGCCTTGGATGATGTCACAGCTGATGGCGGCCATCAACATCACAGGGGAAATAACATGCAGAAACTGGGATCCACTCCAGAACATTCCATCAGCATCTGATTTGCATGCCAGGTGATTTGTGTGTGCATGAAAGTTTGAGAAGCGCCCAGAGAAACACAAAGATCCAGAGTCTTCCAACCTGGTAAGATGCCACCAGAGCTCCCTCCAACCGGGTGCGAAATATAATAGGACACACACACACACACACACACTAAGGCATTTGACTGCTAACCAGAAGGCCGTCGGTTCAAACCCACCAGCCACTCCTCGGAAGGAAGGTTGGGCAATCTACTTCTGTAGTGATACTGCCTCGGGAACCCAAGGAGGGGTTGCTATGAATCGGGTCCGACTCGAGGGCACATAACAACAACAACAACAACAGTGTAGGTGGGTGCATGGTCCCTAAACTAAATTCCTCTTCTAAATGTAAAAAAGAGAAGTATGTTTCTCTTTTCCTGTTTTTAAACTGGGAGGTCATCTTTAGCCTAAGGTCCGCTAGGAAGCTGGTTTTCGTATCCAGCCTATATAAGCAGACAGCTACCAGGATCTTAATCATCCAACCTACCGATGTGGCGAAATGAATAAATAAAGGAACAGTGCCACTTCAGTAGCTAAATGAATTGCCTTTTGGCCAGAGTCTGCGGGAAGCTGCTGCACCCAGTCAGTAAATTGTTTCCATTTGAAAACACAGCTCAAAGAGCGCTTAATAAGTGCAATTTGACGATAATCATGATGATTCACATAGCAGCATCATATACCCAGTGAAGCACATGTTCGCGGGGAACAGTGATGAGGAGTCAGGTCCCGAGCACAGCTAGGGAAGGAGCCCCTCAGCGAGGATTGGAGTGCAGTGTGCGGGAAGGCAATTGTGAAATCGCTGGCCGAGCCTTTTGCTGTGTGAAAGGTGTGTCTCCCTACCCTGCTCACCCTCCATTCCTGCTGCTGATCCTGACTCTCACATCAAGCAGTTCTTTTTACCATAAATGCAGCCCTTCAGGGAAAAGCGTGGGTAAGCCAGGGACCCAGGAGCATGGGGCTAGCCAGGGACACCACCGGAGCGAAATAGGTCACTGGGCTCGCAGGCAGCGCTCCCCCGGCGCCCGCGCTAGTGCAGAGCCCTGGACCGGGGTTGGGGTGGGATGCAGGACTCGGCAGGCCAGGCAGAGCCCGCCTGGGAGGATGACAGTGCAATTCTTCGCCTCCGGGCTCTCGCCCTCCAAGAGGGCGGTCCAGGTGACGCCTCCACTGTGGGTGGCCCACCCGCGGCCCTGGGGGTGCAGGGGAGGTGG